GGGCTGGCCGCGCCGATACGCTCCCCGCAGGCCGGGCATGGCTGCGGAGGAGTCTCGCTGCCTGCTGGGTTACCCCGCTGCGGACTCCTGCCCGAGGTAAGCGCGGGCGCCGCGACCCGCCGCTTGTGCGGGCTCAGGGAGAGCGCTGACTGCCCCGGAGCCCGGCCGCGGCGACCCCCGGGCCGGACCCTCGGCCAGGCCCGCCCGAGAGGTACCGGCCCCAGTGAGGGGCCGGCGCTGGGGCCGGAAGGGGGAGATGGGGGCGGCGTGATTCTTGTCGGCCTCTTCTGCCTCAGAGTGCAGAACAAGAAGCTGTACCTGGCCACGTTCGCCGCTGTCCTGGGACCTCTCAGCTTCGGCTTCGTGCTAGGCTACAGCTCGCCTGTTATTCCAGAGTTGAGGAAAATCAACGATCTTAAATTGAGGCTGGACAGCAGCCAAGCCTCGTGGTTTGGGGTGAGTCTCTGTATGATGCATTGCCGTTATGTGATTTCACTTGAAAGCATAGGTCTAAGAAGGTGCTGCTTATATGATGAGAGTCTTAACCCCTCTTAAGAATGGGGGTAAATGCAGATGTTAATAATGAAATCCAGTGGTTTTGTTTAAACTCAGTAATTGATTCCATTTTTTCCTGAGTAACAGTGCTGTTATGGCCTGATAACTCTGTTAGTGTATACTAATAAATGCCCCTATTGTTTGAACCTATTCTTGGTTGTAAAATGTCTTCTAACGGTTCTCATGTTTCTCAGTTGAACCTGCTAAGGGACCACAGAGAATAAACTTTTTACTAAATTAATGCAGTCCATCATCATGGGGAATATTTGCTTTTTCGATACAGGCTGGACTTCAGGTTAGTCAGGGTAACAATTTCTTCAGGGCTTTAAAACATCTTGAAAGGCCTGTTTGTGAATGGACAGCTTTGTAGACAGGTTAAGAAAGAGCTACTGCTGCTTTTTTTTTTTTTACTTCATTGAAAGAACTTTGTATGTAATATGAAAATTACTTGCAGTTCAATTGTGGTGAGTGGTGCTTCTTAACTATGTTTTGATTAAGAAGTTAATGTTTATTTTGGTTTTCTAAACACGTGCATACTCTTGCACATTTTTTTAGAAGCTGCTACTTTTCAATATTTTAAAAGAAATTCCTGTCTGTTATTTATTTTTGTATTTATTTATATATATGTATAATAGATACTTTCTTGCTTGTTTTTTGAAGTCAGTAGTAACATTAGGAGCTGCTGCTGGAGGAATACTAGGAGGCTACCTTGTGGATAAAGTTGGGAGAAAGCTGAGTCTAATGTTGTGCTCAATACCATATATTTTTGGATATATAGTTATTATATCTGCTCAGAATGTTTGGATGCTTTATTTTGGACGAATGCTGACAGGCTTAGCCAGTGGAATTACTTCACTTGTTGTTCCGGTAAGTAAGATGTTGTGTGCGTGTATCTGTGCATGTGTGGTTGCTTTTTTGTTTGTGGGGGTTTTGTTGCTTTTTCTATAGCAGTACTGTAGGTGGTTTTGGTGAAGTAACTGAATAACTGTGGCCAAGGCAGTTTGGGGATTTAAAAGAAACTGTTTTTTATAGAATTATATTTTGCTTGGTTTTAATAATGAAACAAATACAAATAAAACAAATTCTATTTCTTCTTGTGGCACTTCTGTGCTATGCATTCCTGATACAGCGATGTGCTCTTTCAGATTATTAGTGTCTTATTTGATTGCTTCTGTTAATGTTCTACTATAGTCTAGTAATATTTATCTCTTCAAATTCCTCATATATAACATTAAGGGGCGGTTAGTTTTGTTTGTGGGTTGTTGTTTTTTTTCCTGTTACCAACTGCTTCTAATAGTCTTGTATTTCACCAAACTCCTTGGTTTTGCAAATTAACTATGGCTGCTTATTCATCCTGGAGAAATGCCAGACAGTGCCTTCTGATTCCATTTAACTGTTATCTTCTGAATATTAACTTTTCCCATGCATTCAGGAATATATGTGCAGTAGGGAAATGGAGATAATTCATTCTGTTGTTGTCTGTCTGCTCTGGTATTATTTGACATTTTGGATCTAGCTGAGCAGGTGGTAGTGTGAAATAAACCATCTAGAATTCAAGTTCGTTTCATTTCTGGTGATTCTAGCATTTCTAGCGTTTGAAGTGAGATGCAAACTAAAAATCAAAGGATAAGAAGCACTCATAATGAAGTATGGAATAAATGCTGCTTCTTTATCAATCTAGATGGTTATAAAAATCTAAAAAAGATTCAGGGTGGTAGGGTCTAAATAATAATCTCGTGCAACTTCCTCTGTAGTTGGAAACTTGGTTGCTTAGTCTGTTGTGTTAATTCTTTCGAGGAATTCTGCCTGCTTTGCAAATGACTGCTTTCTCTTTGTTTCATGGAGCCAAGCTCTAAGCTCCCATGTGTGTAAAGGCCCTAACCCATCTATGTGACTGCAGTGATGAAGGAGGAGACTGTCATATGTAATACCAAGTTTTTGTAGCTCTAAATTATTCTTGAAAGAAGAATTACTTATTTTCCTTCCAGAAAAAGTAAGAACTGTTACTTTAGAAAGGATTGAATGTATAAATACAAGGGATTTCTTTTTATGTATACAGCTAAACTGTAGCTTTTGACTTGGGGTTAATATATTAAAAAATAGCTGGAAAGTTTAAGTTTGATCCTAAATATTGGATGAGGTGTGATGCTGTATCAAGATGAGCTCTCAGTTTGGAACTTCATGGAGAATGAAATAATTTGCACTCCTTACATTGAATTAAAAATTTAAAACTTTCATTGCAAACAGTTTTATATGTGGCTTGGACTACATGTTTATGCAAAGACTGTTCCAAGCTCTAGACTGCTTTGTGATGATGCATTTCTTGTTGAATATGGCTAACAAAAGAAGCTCTTACTAATGCAAGTTTATTCACCTTTGGGATAATTGATACTGCATCAACAGTATTCTGGCTTAGGTCCTCCCTTTCTTCCAGGGTTTTTCATGATGCCAATATACATTTCTGAGATGGGTCT